TTTCAAATTCAGCTCGGTAAATCACATTTTAATTTTCAAGCTTGTTTAGATCTCTCTGTTTCTAAAATGTATGAAGAATAGATGTGTTTTTATTGAGCCGCAATTCGACAAGATTTAATCGGAAAATGAAGTTTTAGCCCCTTCGCTCTTAAACTAAATTTAGAAGGGAATTTTACAGCGATTACTCGATATTACGAAAGTCCATTGGAATCCAGTATCACAGCCAAAGTTCTGTTTGTGATTGATAATTGTTGATTCGTTGCCCGTGGCAAATGTACGTAAGCAGAAGTTGGTAACCAAAGCACATACGGAATAAAGAGAAGCAATATAATTCGCATCACTGACAAAGACATCCTCTTGAGTGATCTTACAAACCTTGTTGAATCAACACAAGCTAAGTTCTCGATATCGTTTGCTGGTAGCATTCCTTCACGTCTAACTGGTTCGAGAGACCTGAAACGGTTGGTATGATTTTCTTATCTTTCGTGCCTCTTATAAGATTACATCTTAATTTAAATTGCAGTTCTGAGGTCGGCTTTCATGCCTTCATACATTTTTAAATCACTCCCTGCATTAATTAGCAAATCTTTAAACATATCTCATTTCAAAAAGTGCATATTGCGTTCCATTTGTTTCGCGATATGTCCATAGCGCAACATTAGCAAGGGCTTTAGGAAATAAGTGGCAAATAACCTCAGCTCATAACAGAGGAAAAAGATACAAAGAGAACCGTAGTACAAAGTTCCAATGAAACTGACATGAATATTGGGATCCTTGTTGAACCTACTAGACAAATCATTCATTCTACCCTCTTTGGTCCCTGTGAAATATTTCGTTGTAAACAGATATTCTTCCCTTAAAATTCAGCACTGTAATTTCCAATTGTATCCTCAGGCCTAAGCTCTCTTTTTCTTTACTGTATGATGGATAGGTGTATGTTTCCAAGAGTCGCAATTCGACCAGACCTGTGAAACAGAGAACAGAGAATAGTTGCTGGGACTAAAGCTTAAATAAATCTTATTTAGAAGAGTAAATTCTGGCTTTCCCATGGAGTCGTTAATAACTTAAGAGTGATTGAGGAGACTCCTAGTATAACTTTAGGGTTTCTTTAGGTCTCACAACTGATATTATACTGTATCACATAAACTGCGGTGTTATACAAGGATTTCCGGCCCTGAGAAAAGCCGTCACAACACACGTGAAAAAATATCATACTTTTTTACGTGTGTTGATATAGCCAATCAGCTGTTGACACGTCACTCGCCTTTGGTGCCCCTCGGTCAGGTTGATGAATAAACGGCAAAGCCTTCATGACTCTCAATACAAGTTGTTTGCCGAAGCTTTCTCGAATTATGGCGGCTAAAACACTAAAAAATCCGTATCGTTGACAGAAATGAGGTTCAAACTTTCCTAGAAGAGGAAGAAAACCAATATACTAAAAAAATAAACCGAAAGTTGCACATTCAGTGGCTTAAGTGTTAGCATTTCTCTCGGCTGAGAATGAAAATCGACAACTGGAAGATTTGCCACGGGCTGATTTTAGCCGTGTACCTGAAATACTTCTTCTGTCGGTAAGGACAAAGTCAATAAATGAAAATTTTCTCGTGTTCAATTCGGCATCTCACTCGTTCGCTGCGCTCGCTCATGAGCTATCGAGTTGAACACTCGAAGAGAAATTCCATATCTACGCGCGCCCATGTATTATTCTCTATTTAAAACTACTCTTTGGAAAGTTTATGGTAGTGAATCAATTTGAATTTTACCTTGATATTGAAAATACCTTTAAGAATCCTGCATGATACCTTTTACATTAGTCATCGATGCATCAACCTCGAGCCGATCATGAAGTCTAAAAACTTAAAAGCAAAATATGTCTCCAGCTTGTGACTCAAAGACACTGATAATTGTTATTTGTTTCGAGGGTTCCTTACGATGTCTTGTGAATCACCTTCACGAGAAACCTTAATTTGCTGCTGATAAAAAGCATGACGAGTCAGTAAATTATACTGATATTTGGAACAGCACTATTCAATTACATCGCTTTTACCAAGTCATACATCAAAAGTGATATGCATGCAACCAGACTGTTAGATGAACCACTGGATCAATTTTAGCTCATTTGAAATATGTAAAATCTACAGCTCGATTTGAATGATGAAAGAAATCAAAGTAAGTGGGTGAAAGAGATTCAGTACTATAAACGTTGTAGTGTACTCTTGTACACAACAACAAAAACAGGTTTCTGTTGTGCTCTGTCTCTTTTCGTTTGAACATCCCATCGGTAAGTTTATTTGAATTAATTCAATATACCTTTAAGCCGAGGTTCAGTCATTTTAGCATAATTTGCCACCTTCTTCTCTTTTATCAAAAAGTTTACTCATCGGTGCCATCGTGTTTCCTTTCGACACCTAAGAGCTGGATAATACAAATCACCCTTAAATTTCCCACTAAGAACGTGCGAAAAGTACTATTCAATCACATTGCTTTTACCAAGCCATACATCAAAAGTGATATGCATGCAACCAGACTGTTAGATAAACCACTTGATCCATTTTAGCTCATTTGAAATAATGTACAATCTACACCTCGATTTGAGTAATTAAAAAAATTCAAAGTAAATGAGTGAAAGATTCAGTACTATAAACGTTGCAGTGTACTCTTGTATATTATGTTAGCGCTTGATGTACATAGTTAATGACTGTTGAGCACATCTAAGTTACCTCACATCGTACACAATTCTTTGATCTAAGATAACAAATATTAGAAATGAGAGAACTCGTTAAAGAAATAAAGATGTTTTTTTGTCTTGGGACAAAGAAACATTTCTGACTCTCCATGAGGAATCGAACCTCAGACCAACAGATTCCGCGCTCCGATGCTCTACCACTGAGCTATAGAGACTCCACAGTGAGGTGTATTACGAAGTTCATATGACACGCGTCTTGAATACTGCTAGGATCAGCAATGTCGATGGTGTAATGTTTGTAGAAAAATATAAGAGAGATGGTAAGTTTTGAGCTCGATGAAGAACTTAAGAAAGTTTTTTTTTCGTCTTGTTACGAGTGTGGGAGAGAAAAAATTCTGAGTCCCCATGAGGAATCGAACTTCAGATCTTCGGATTCTGTGCTCCGATGCTCTACCACTGAGCCATAGAGACTCCACGGTGAGCGAGGTATATTACTAAGTTCATATGACACGCGTCCTGCATACTGCTAGGATCAGCAATGTCGATAGCGTAATTTTTGTAGAAAGAGTCCCACGCTCGTGACAAGACGGAAAAAACATCTTTCTTTATTTCTTTACCGAGCTCAAAACTTACCATCTCTCTTATTTCTATCAATAATTTGAATTTATAAAGGAGTCAAGTTTCTAAAGAAACTGTGGCGCTACGTCGGTGGGAGAGTATAACAGGGTAATTTAGTATCATTAGCGAGTTCATAACGTAAATTGGCCGCCATAAAGAGTTTCAAATCTGACGTTTCAAGCAGTAGCCCGATACGTCAGGGTAGAGGGCAGAGTCAGGGCAGAGTCAGGACAGAGGAACACGGCAAGTCGAGACGTTAATTGCCAGAACCTATTGATTTAACGTGTAAAATGTTCACATTTCGATATATTTATCGTTGTAAATCGACCATATTTCGTTCCCCATGCTATTCCTTATAACATGTTCAATTTCTTAACGGTTCCTCCCGTAAATTAACACTGAGTCACACAACATGTGACGCTTTCATGAATTAATCGTTTGCTTTTTATCAAGACGTGAGCCTGGGAAGCCTTTGTTCTCACGAGTCTGCACTCGAATTATCGCAAGAAGCGTTGCATCTCTCTGCTGTTTTTCTTTCGATATATTAACGAGTAAAGTTAGAAATTAACCAAGTGCTAATGTTGATTGGTCGATGTGCTCTCGTGGGGAGTCCTAGTTCGCGGTAAATTCAGACTAAAAATAGACTTGTCTGTGAAAACACCGTGACAAAAATACAGAGTAGTTGAGGGCTCCAAGTGTTGGGCCCCTGCCAGAACTACGCTCCGATTGAGTGCTACTTGTAAGGTCATTCATAGATAATTCAAGGGTATTGCGTCAAGTGCAAACTTCTGCTCCGCAGTGTTCCTCTTCTCCTCGCTGTTTCAAGACGGGTCATCTATTGCGTCACGTATCGTCACGTGTCCTAACGTTTTCGTTCCCTTTGCAGCTGTATGAAAGCTTTGGTTACTTACTAAAGTCAACCAATCTTTTTTTTGCAACTACTACGAACCGTTGATATTTTCAAAACTAGTTGTACCTGCGAATAAAAACAAGTTCTTCATCGAAGCTAAAATTGAAAAAAAACAACTAGCGACGCCGAGTTGAAGACATAACACTTGATTGTCAGTTTGGATACGAAGATATCGAAAAGCACGGAATAGCAACTAAATACCCAGGGTATTGGACCAGAACGAGTAAACTGAACGTATAATAAGAATATCATTATACAACTGCACAAAGTAGATTACAAATAACGGGCGAATTGAGTACTTATATCCTGCAATATTGTACGGTTATTTGGACACTTGGTTATTTTGCACTATAAAACAACCTGTTTAACCAGTCGGCTTCGCGCGTTATGTTATAAAATAACTGGTTCATGCTTTAAGCTATGCAACTTCATAAGTTTGAAGAGCACTCAGAAAGCTAAAGTTAAAACTCTTACGCTTCTCTCATGCTCACCAATCTTCCCGCGTGCATCCATTTGACGATTAGCGAAGCATTGTTCTTGTCAGTTCGTTTACCATTAGAAACGTGGAAAGTTTCCCGTAAAAACATCGTGTAAGGTTATATAAGTTTCTTCTAAATATTAGGACAGTACTAACAACTGAGTTACGAAGCCACACGTTGGTAGCGAAGCAAAATTTAACATGATGAATATTGATAAAAAAGAATAAAAATTCATCTAACATAGTTGAAATCTTCCTTTGTTTTGACTCTCCAGCATCATCATATAGGGAAACAGGACCCCATTGCCATGGATTTCAAAACTTGGAACATGTTCTGGAGATTATGTTTTGGAGTCTTAGCAACTTTGATCATTACGGGAAATATTCTCATCATCTGGATTTTTTTTAAGCTGAGACGCCGAAAGCGTTCCACATTTCTTCTGATCGGTTTGGGCGTGGCTGATTTACTGGTGGGAGGACTGGCCGTTCCTCTTCTCATAGCAACATATGAATCAGCTTCAATAACAGTATGGCGTGTTTTCGACCTTGTTGACGTGTTTACAAGTACATCGTCCATTTATGCACTTGCTGTTATTTCCGTGGAGAGGATGTTCGCCATCGGTTGGCCTCTTCGTCATAGAACTGCAAACTTTCGTCTTTATATATGTGCTATTGCCCTACCGTGGATCATAGCAGCAATATTCGCTATAACATTTTTCGTTTATGCAAACTTCATCTTCATGACAAGAGACAGCGTAATCTACCCCATAGTTTTGTTACCTGCAACACCTCTATTAATTATGTGTGTAGCGTATTATGTTATTTGGAGGAAACAAAAATCAACAATATGTAACCAAAACAATATCATCAGAGAGGTCAAATTAGCAAAAACATTATTTTTGATAACAGGAGCTTCTGTTTTCACCTGGCTCCCCTTCCAGATTCTTAACCTGTTGGCATATTTGCAAATAACCGCAAACTTTTCTCATATGCTACCAACGGTACTCATTATCAGGGTTTTGCAATATAGCAATTCGTTCGTGAACGTAATTATTTATCCATTAAGAATTCCAGAATTTAAAAACTACCTGCTACACTTACTTCGTTGTTGTGTAGTTCACCGTCAGGTATTTAGAGCTGGGGTTTTATCATCAGCCGGGTCCGGGTCAGTTGTATCCTTAGTAAGATTTACAAGTACGCAGCACTTATCACCGAGCTCTAAACAGGAGAGTGCAGTTTGATTGCTTTATTGATTGTTTAAAGTCAATAAAAAATCGATATTTTTTACTGACTTTAAGTGATTCAACTGAGGGGAAATCGTGCTCTTCATCATCTGTTTGAGTGTAAACGTAAGATCCTTAAGTGAATCTTAAATTAACTCGATGCCAAGTGTAATTGGCATCTCCAGTGTTAATGAGTAATATCATTTTTGTAAATAATATCAATACTGTTTAGTTAGGCTGACCTCATTGTCAGGGCACTTTCTGGAACGTTTTGTCGAGTAACGCAATTATTGCATCATACTTGTCATCCAGCTAAGTGCGATGCAAATACATCACGAGATTGCTTACGTAACGCTTAGGTAGTCGCCGCTTACGTAGTTTGCTTTTGTCGAGAGATACCCTTAGGAGAAAAAAAAAAGGGAGACGATGTGAGTGCGCAAAGAAGCTGTATGCAAGGTGTGCAAGGAACTAGGAACTTTGGAGAAAGTGGTGTGTTTGTGTAGTGGAAAGCCGGTGTGCAAGGAACTAGGAATTTTGGAGAAAGTGGTGTGTTTGTGAAGTGGAAAGCCAGTGTGCAAGGAATTAGGAACTTTGGAGAAAGTAGTGAGTTTGTGAAGTAGTAAGCTAAGAATTGGTTTGTAGAGGGCTCAAGCAAGATATTTGGAACGCAGGTTATTTTATTGTAAATTACTTTATCGCAAGTCACTTCTAAGTAAGAATATTACCTGCAGTTTTATAAAGTAGTTTAGTTCGTCGGAGCAGCGTTTTTCTGTTAGTTAGGTTATATCGTAACACAAGATAAATAGAGATGCGTACTTAACGAGAATGAAAGCGTCGAGGGCGATATCAGACACTTTCACATCAACTGAGATAAATAGTCTTGATATGACCCATCAATATGAAGAACAAGCAGCAATATCGTCAGACATAAATATCTATCTAATTCGGACATCACGCTGGAAAAATTTGGGCTCAAAAAGTCACCTATTATGTCTAATAATAATAATAATAATAATAAACTTTATTTACGTGTCAAATAAGATAGCAGTTTCCCACTAAGTAAGGACACCTAAACTAAACTAATCTAATCTATATAAAACTAAGCATTAAAAATTTATTGGAATATGATAAAAGAGCTCTTCCCATATAAAACTACCCTACCCCGAAATAGTAGACCCCATGTTTATAATACCCTACCCTGTATAATAAGATAATAACCTTAATATAATGAGATAATGAGATAATGATAATTACAATAATATGATCTTGATAATATTTAAAATATTTAAGATTTACATAAAATACAGTTCTTGCAATTATTCGAAGAGATTAAACTTTGTATATCTACTTTATGTAAAGCGTTTTTAAATTCTTGCAGCGTTCTTAGTGCTCTTATTTTTCCATCTAACTTAGACCAGATTACTGGACCTAATTACCTAAGAGAGTGCTTACCATAGCGCGTAGTACTAACTCTAGGGATAATGAAATCATTGTTTCTTAAATTATATTTGTTGTTATTAATAACAAACAGGTTCTTGATATTATTAGGGCACAGATCATTTTTAACTTTAAACATTAACACAGCTATGTCATGTAATCGCCTATTACGTAAGGTTTTTAAATTAGCCCTCTAATGATGTATCTAGGGATGATCATGATAGAGCGAAGTAGGATATTTCACGCGTTCTTTCGTTAGAGCAACTGGCACAATTTATTAGACCTGACAACAAAAAGGTTTATGTTGTACTCTGACTCTTTTCGTTTGAACATCCAATGGGAAGTTTAAATTCATTAGAATTAATTTAATATACCTTTAAACCGAGGTTTGAATTTCCCACTAAGAACGTGCGAAAAGTACCATTCAATTATATTGCCTTTACCAAGTCATACATCAAAAGTGATATGCATGCAACCAGACTGTTAGGTAAACCACTTGATAAATTTAAGCTCATTTGAAACATGTACAATCTACAGCTCGATTTGAATAATAAAAAAATCAAAGTGGGTGAAAGAGATTCAGTACTATAAAAGTTGCAGTGTACTCTTGTATATTATGTTAGCGCTTGATGTACATAGTTAATGACTGTTGAGCACATCTAAGTTACCTCACATCGTTCAAGATTCTTTGATCTAAGATAATAAATATTAGAAATAAGAGAGATGGTAAATTTTGAGCTCGGTAAAGAAATAAAGATGGTTATTTGGTCTTGTCACGAGCGTGGGACTAAGAAAACATTCTGAGTTCCCATGAGGAATCGAACTTCAAACCAACGGATTCCGCGCTCCGATGCTCTACCACTGAGCCATAGAGACGCCACTGTAAGCGAGGTCAATTACGAAGTTCATATGACACGCGTCCTGAATACTGCTAGGATCAGCAATGTCGATGGCGTAATGTTTGTAGAAAAAAAATTAGGGAGATGGTAAGTTTTGAGCTCGGTAAAGAAATAAAGAAAGATGTTTTTTTCGTCTTGTCACAAGCGTGGGACAAAGAAAGAATTCTGAGTCCCCGTGAGGAATCAAACTTCAGACCTTCGGATTCCGCGCTCCGATGCTCTACCACTGAGCCACGGTGAGCGAGGTGTATTACGAAGTCCATATGACATGCGTCCTGCATACTGCTAGGATCAGCAATGTCGATAGCGTAATGTTTGTGGATAGAGTCCTAGACTAGTCCTACGCTCTTGACAAGACGGAAAAAACATCTTTCTTTATTTCTTTACCGAGCTCAAAACTTACCATCTCTCTTATTTCTATCTAAAATTTGAATTTATAAAGAAGTCAAGTTTCTAAAGAAACTGTGGTGCTACGTCGGTGGAAGAGTGTTCTGATTTGTTTTCAGCTTTGATTTTACTTTCGTTTCGTTACCAGCTGCGCGGTTTATTTGGAGTCATCGCCAAAAAAACCTTCTTATCGAAAGTATGATGATATTTTCTATTTTAAATATTTCTAAATAAAGGCTATTAAACACATTCACTTCTGAATGTGGCCATAGAGGGTTAGGAAAATCTTCTTCTTGGGCGCACGTTTTTTGAAAAGCTAGAGTTAATTGTACTTGATATTCGTTAATTGTGCTTGATATTCGGCCTAAAGTCACATTTTAGAACATACTCAGTATGCATTTTGCGACTCCTATCTAATCGTTCCTCTGACCAAAAACCTAATCGACACAACTCCACAGTCTCTCGAGTGAGAAACCTCCCCCACTTATTCTCTGAAATTTATATTCCTATTTCGATGATTTAGATGATTGCGAGTTGCGAAATATTTCGAACAATGCGAGAAATGTCCAATTTACTCTACCATTATTTCATTTTCTTCCATTTTGTCCAGTTTTCAAAACACCTTACATGCACAGCCTTACTATTTGAGCATCGAATCAATCCCATAATGCCTCATCCTCGGAGACCCAGGGGCTGTGAGTCGATTTCAAGTCAGGGCGGAAGAGCCCCTGGGGACATTGTCTTATAAGACTAGTTCCAGACGGTTGCATTCGTTCTGGTATCTAATTGGTGCCAGAAAATCTTTGTGTTTTTATGTCCCCAGAGGCTCTTCTACCCTGACTTGAAATCGACTCACAGCCCCTGGGTCTTCGAGGATGATAGTGCCTGTGCGAAAAAAGAAAACAACCCAATCGAAACAAAATTCAAAACTACCTAGTTCACTTACTTCGCTCGGTCTTGTATTCCCTTCTCGCCTAGCAAAGTGTTTTTAAGCTTAATGTATTGTTTCAAATGAAGTAGCCTTAACTGCTATCATCTTAGGTATATACAATACAGTACAAACTTTATTAACACACTCCAGGGGGGCTGTTTTGGTGTTAATCATCTCAAACAAAAATATATAAGATAAAATTGCAAAACAATCACTCTAAAATTACAATAAAATACGATAAAAGTTACGATGTGGTAAGAAGTTAAACATCCACGTAAGAGTTTATTTCTTTATTTTCTTTAAAATAAAAACAGATCCACATAACTTAAAAGTATGATACAAACCGTGTTATGGAGAGCAAAACGTAAACTGCGGCTAACGCTGGAGCGTGTGAGTCGTTTTCGACCGAGGTAAGAATTCAACCCAATGCAATCACGGAAAACAACACCGAAAAATTTGCAAACGCGGGAAAATACGCAATTTGCTGCAAAAGAGAAGAAAAAATATGGCCACCTGAGACGTAGAAATGGAGGAATACGTACCTCGTTGCAAATGCGGGAAAGTGTTTGTAACGAGATACAAAAGATATAGAGTAAAAGCTGAATTTGTAATGCGTACACAAGAAGTTAGCATCTAATCTAAAAATCTAGATTGATTACTTTTTTTCGCAATGCTTTAAAAATAGAAGCAAAATAACCTAATTTAGTCGGACTGCGTCATTAACGAATATTTGCTTGATCCCTTTTGCTGGTGAGATTCCTTTGCTTTTAAACCCTTCAAAGAGACCCAAAATGGTGATAGTAAATTTCTTAACTTCTTTGTTTACCACGTAGGTATCTTTGTTTTAGGGAATTTTGAGACATGCCCGGAACATTCTGCAATTCTGAGTTCCGTTGGATTGCCTTTGGCAAAAAGGTCCCTCCATTCATATTTACATCGTATATCATATCATCACTTAGGAAAGGCACCCAATTTATTACAAAACCCAACAAAAAATGCATACCAAACACGAGGAAAACCCACAAGAAGTGAAATGTTTTAAACTAGATGGCCCAAATTATATCTCCCAATTTTTTACACCTCGTGCTCGCCTGATTAATGTAAATTTCACTATATATATTTTTCTTTCAATTAATCAATTTATTTTTAATATTTGTATATGCATAACTCACATTTTATCTTGTTTTGTATTTTTAGTAGTCTGACGAGCGTATTTAAGATAAGCCTCTGGCTCAGAAGATTGTGCAAACACTTTCCACACCTTCGACATTAAATAACGTATTCTCTTCTATTATTTTGTTCAATTAACAAGAATGATGGAATATTTGTTTCACATATTGCCATTTATTAATTCCACTTGTCTT